ATAATTTTTGTTATAACCTGAAACGTGAAAATATTTTATTATAACGATTACGTTATCCAATTAAAAAAATAAAAAAAAAAAAAGAAGAAGAAAGTAATGTTTCAATATAATCCGTATAAAACCAGTTACTGCGACAATATTCTTATCTTTAATCGCTTTTTATCAAAAAATATTTGCTTGTTAATACAAACGATCGAACGATCGGATAAGGATCTTATACGAAATCTTGCTCATGATTTATTTTAAGATTTACTTTTATTTTTTTGGATCTTGATTTATATATATATATATTTATATCAATGTGATCGTTAAAATTGATAACTGAGTATGTCACAAAAGTCATGTTTTTGGTCATGCTCGACTTGATCATAAAAAACGAAATAAGACCCTTTAAGTTGTGACGTTTGGAAGATAAGGAAAGGGAAACGAAGAAATGAGATCAGAAATGTTTTCTTGAACGGAAATGAAAGGAAGAAGAAGAAAAAAAGTAAGAAAAAGAAAGAAGAGTGAACATTTTATATTTCTCTTTTATCCCTCTTTCTTCTTCGATGTGTGTTACTGTTATATTATATAAGTATATTGTGAATGACAGTTGAGAATAAGTGAAAACTTGATCGAGAAAATATCGAGCTTCACGTAACACCACTTTTAATATCCTTTTTTTTGATTATTATATTTTGACCTAGTGGTGATGCTTTCAAAAATATTTCGAGATCAATTGATTATATATATAAATTAATTTTTATTATTAAATATATCTCACAGTTAACACCGAATTCCGTTTTATGTTCAACTAAAAGTTCGACAATTTAAAAAGAAAAAACATGAGAAAATGATTTAAGGAAGTTAAGATTGTATCTTATTATTCGTAGAATCGAACCTAAGTCATTCGAAGTCGTAGAGACGCATTTTACTTAGGTCAAGCTTGGAATAGTACGCGGAACAACAAGTAGATGACAATAGACGTGTGGTGGACGCGACCACTTTGAAGTAGTAGAATCTATCCTGAGTAACTTTGAGTTAGTTCAAAAGAAGTTCACATTCTTTTTATTTCCTGCATGAACCTAACTTAAATTTATTTCAAAAAAAAAAAAAAAAGTAGCCTAAAAATAAATTATATATATATATAACAAAACATTTATAATGTATTTAAATTTTGTTCTAATTACAATTTACAATATTATATATATAAATATAAATTTCTTTCTTTTTCTTTCTCTCTCTATAAAAAATTATATATATTTTAAAATGTTATGATATAGTAATTATAAAAAAGCAAAAAAAAACAAAACACAATTAAATATTATAATTTGCTAATTATTGTTAGAAAAAAAAAATTGTTGTTTAGGCTATTTAGTAAATGTTTCTCATTAATTGAAATTTCTTACCTTTTCCTTTTCCTTATCCTTCTCACTAGTATCATCCTTGTCTTTGTCTTTATCCTCGTTAACGTCGGTACGATAAGCAATGCCATTGGTCGTTGGTTTAGCATCGCTTTCCTCGATCCTTTCTAGTTTCCCATCACCGGGTGTTGCTGCATCACCAACAGCCCCTTCGCTTGGGATACCTTCTTTCTTCGGCGTCGTCGTTATATCGACTGACCTTTTGCTTTGTCTGGCACCCATCTTTTTCTTTTGTTTAATCCTTTTGATTCGCTACTTTATTATCCTCCTTCTTTATCTTTTCCTTTATCAAAATTGCGCACAAGCGCTTGCTGAATTTTTACCTGTAACAAATTAAAATCAAAATTAATAAGTGTGTTCTGCATTTAAAAACGAATAATTCTTTGTTTTGTGATATTAAAAATATTAATAAATTAAATTATAATATTTATCAAATGTATATCTTCATAATCAATATAACCACGTATAAAGATAATAATGTAAAATATATATAAAAGATATGAAGTAATAATATTGAAAGATAAAAGAAAGAAAAAAAAGAAAAGAAAAAGAGTAAATAGTATGATCTTTTTCAATTTGATATTAATATCGCGTGACAAATGGAAAAAAAAGAAAAATTTCTATTAGAATTAAAACGTGTATTTTAAAGAAAGAACGTTAACCCCTGTGACACAGTTTATTGCTCGACGAAACTGATCGAACGTGCAAGATAAGGGTTATTATTAATCGATAGAGGGATTAAAATAGAAATCCACTTTTAATATACGTATTACCATCCTCCTCATGAATATACATACATATATTCCATAATGAACTATTCAACTACAATATTTTCTATGTAAATTAAAAGCAAACTATATATTGGTAGTAAAGAAGAAAAATAAAATACGCGTCAAATATTAATAGAAACAAATTTGTTTGTATCGTATCACACAAAGGTAATACTTTGAAAAAATTATTTTTCTAATAATTAAATGTAAGAGAGCAAGTATTACGTATGATAAAGTACGTATCGTAAAGGTACAACTATTCCGAAAATATTTTCTTAATTGTTTTTTTTTGATAATTAAAATATAAAAAAGTTTAAGATATTATAAGAAAAATTTTTAAATCAAATAAACAATATTAATATGAATATATGTGTATATCTATAAATCTTTGTTTTATATATCAAAAGTTACAATACCTTGATAATTATTTTTTCTTTATTTTGTAATAATTAAATGTAAAACGAGTTTCAGATATAAAAAAAAAAGAACATATTTTTGTTTTGTTTAAATGTAAAATACTAATAGGAGAACATATTGCTTGCGTTATACCAAAGGTACAACTTTCGCAAATATATCCCACCACACCATCACCATAACCACTACCAACCAACCAGCTGAAATCTGATAGCACCATCTGTCGTACTACACACTCTACGCACCGGTTTCTCGAAAGTTTCTTTTCACGAGAAAGAGAGAGAGAAAAAGAACGAGAGGGAAAGAAAGAGAGAGAGAAAGAGACTTTCGATCCTCCTTCGGATTTAGCTGCAGGTGCGCCAGAAGAAGTTACAACCGCTCGTAAACGTTCCCCACGTGCAAATCCTTTTCGTCGAGTGAATTTCAAAGAGAACCCACAGCTTTCCTATGGTTTCTTTCTCTCTCTCTCTCTCTCTCTCTTCATTCTTTCTTTCGTTCATCATTTGCATTTATAATCGATTTTTCGATATTAACATTTTATCTTTCTCGTCTCATAATTTTACGTAATATCTTGATACGAATATTCGGATTAATCGGGAACGTTAAATTGAGGCGAAAAAGCAGGTGATACTGGATATCTACGTAATCGAATCATATTGAAATCACGATTGGCATAAGAATTATGCGAATCGATTATTTTCGCATAAGTTTTAGATAACCGCGATTTTTCGCACGATTTATTTAACGCAGGTGTTGCGAATTAAATAAAACGAGAAATAGAAAGAGGCAAGCAAGCAAGTGGCGAGTGGGATCGGACACGTATTTAAATTATCCGTCGTATCGTATGCATTTTAAATCGAAATAAAGAAACGCAAATTTCTATATAGGGTGGAATAAAATTTCTTACGAATCTTTAGAAAAAGAAAAATAAAGGAAAATTCTAGAAAACAAAAGAAACTTAAAGCCAACGCGCATAATTAATTTTGATTGAAATTAAAAAATTAATGGAAATAATAATTAAAAAAAAAAAATAATAAAACTATCAACATTAATACAACACAGTTCGTTTATATAATACAAATAATAGATAATTATTTTTTATTTCCATAAAGCAAAATTTTGTTGAAAGACTGAAAAATAGATTGAAATAATTAACACTTAAATACTATGAAAAAATATTTCGAAGTAAAAATATATGGCATATATAAAAATGAAAGAACAAAAGAAAACTTAACAGACACCGTTCTTTCAACAACACACGTTACTAATTATCGACATACGTTTAGTAGGATCGCAGTGATTCCGTTAAAACGACGTATAACCTAACGGTAACAGATATTTACCTAGAATGTTTTTTTTTCTTTTCCTTTTTTTCTCTCTTTCTCTGTCATAGGTCGATGAAAAAGAGGATTCATTGTTCGAGAAAGGAAATGAGGAACAAGCTTTGTTAGAATATTCGTGCAAAAATCTAACAAAATAAATTCTTTAAAATCTTGTTTTTCTTTTCCCCTGTAAATTTTGTATCGAAACTATGTATGTGTTAACGTCATAGCCGGAAATCCGCCATTGCTAGTAATTCCTCGGCATTCTCATCAATGCAAAGAGCATTCCGATGAAGTCGGAAACAGAAAAATTCTTACAGTTTTACCTAAGCATTGAACCTAATACTTTGATATCCAATAGAATAGCAAATTACTATTTAAACAACGTTGAAAAGAATACATTCTCGGGCAGAGACGCGCACAGCAAAGTTTCAGTAAATATTTTTTATACTAAAAGTAAATAGATTTTAATGATTTTTATATTAAATTAAAGTACACTCTATTGTCTATGCGTAGAATACAATATCGAGTTATAAATTTAGCATGTAAACTTCATTAAATGTTAGAGAATGCAATGCTGTAAATTGTGCATTTTTGCAATTTCTTTGAAAAGTTTCGGTAAATATTTTTTATACTAAAAGTAAATATATTTTAATAAAACTTATATTAAATTAAAGTACACTCTTTTTTCTACACGTAGAATACTTTGTAGAGTTATGAAAATCAAATGTAAAGTGCAGAAAATATCAGAGAATGCAGTGCTGTAAATTGTGCATCTTTCCAATTTTTTTGAAAAGTTCAAGTAATTATTTTTTATACTTTTAGCAAATGGATTTTAATGATTTTTATATTAAATTAAAGTAYACTCTTTTGTCTACGCGTAGAATACCATATCGAGTTATAAATCAATCTGAAAAGGTTCATAAAATGGCAAAGAATGCGATGCTGCAAATTTTTCCTACTTTGCCGTCTTATTAAAATCTTTTCGCAAATATTTTTTATACTAAGAGTGAATAGATTTTAATGATTTTTATATTAAATTAAAGTGCACTCTTTAAGCTACACGCAGAGTACATTTTCGCTATATAAATCAATCTGCAAAGGTTCAAAAAATGGCAAAGAAAAGTTGGCGGATTAGGCAATGTGAATAATGCCTAAGGCCAGGCATTGTTAACATTGCCGGGGGAGGTTTGGAACCTAGGCCGGTATTGTTAACAATGCCTGGTTTTAGGCATTATTCACATTGCCTAATCCGC